ATCAGCGCTGGCCCTGACGGCAGTGTGACTCCTCCCCACCAAATCTGCTGCTGGCCCTCGGGGTCCATCCCCGTGGACGGCTCGTCCAGAAGCAACACCGATGGGTTTCCCAGGATGCTCAGAGCGAAGCACAGCTGGAACAACAGAGACCAGCTGTCAGCTCCAGCCGTAGGTGCACAGAGCCCCACCAGGCCCTCGCGTACCTTCCTCTTTATTCCCTCTGACAGGGTCTTCACGGGTGCCTGCAGCTGGGCCTGCAGCCTGAGCGCCTCGACCAACCTGCGGGGGACACAGCAGAGCCTCACAGTCTGCTGGGGTGGGCCATGTGTGTGTGCGTGTGTGTGTGTGTGATTGTGTGTCCAGGAAGCATGAGGATGGGGTGGAGCCCAGACACGTGGTTCTGGGAACCCTTGAAGCACAGGTAGGGTGAGAGGTGCTGTCACTGGCTGGTTGGGTCTGCTGCTCCAAAGATAGCGTCATCTTTTGAGAGAATATAAACACGTCATGACGTCCAAGTAGTTGTTCAATGATAAAGTAAATTGTAGTGGTTTTCGATAAATTTCATCAAACTCAGCATCTTGCACTTGCCAGGCAGGCGCTGTGCCACAGAGTTATATCCCTGATGCCTAGGCTGAATTCTTCTGAACACTGTCTCCCACAGCCTCCTCCCGGCCCCAGGGGAAGGTGTCTCCCATGTACCGTGCTATGGCCTCCGGAGCATCCGCCTTGCTCAGCCCCTTCACAGCAGCAAACACCTCCAGGTGCTCCCTTACAGTCAGGTTGGGCCACAGCACGTTCTCCTGAGGACAGTACCCCAGGAACCCCAGGGGGTCAGCCTCACTGCTCCCTCTCAGCAGCACCTACAGTGGGCAAGAGGCACTGTCGGAGCCCGCACTGTGTGGACCCCACCCCGAGGACTGTGGTGGTGTGGCTTTCTCTTTACAAACAGCAAAAGTAGAAGAATTCTAGGAACCCATTGAGCTTCGTTATCTGTGGTCATTTGGCATTGGAGAAAGGTGGTTGGAGAGTAAATGCATTAAACAAATGTGTGTGCTGCCAGCTGCCTCATCTAAGCAGTGCACACATTTGTTCATAGTCTACTTCCAAGTTCTGACCCCTCTCAGAAGGAATGCCCACCCCGCCCCCACTCTCTCCTGCACTAGGGATGCATCCTAGGGCCTTACACTGAGCTGTAGCCCCACAACTTTCTATATGGACACAGTCTCTAAGTCATGAAGTTGCCCCAGTTGCTCTAGACTTGCAATCTTCCTGTCTCAGCCTCCCAGACTGCGGGGATGACAGACATTCAAGATCTGCAACGTATGAAAGACAGTGGATAAAACCGTGTAGTAATTTTTCAAGAAGTTTTACTCAAGATTAGGAAGGCGGGGGCTGGGATGATGGCTCTGCAGCCTAAGTGCCTGCTTAGGAAGCGCAAGGACCTGGGTTTGATTCCCAGTACTGTATGCTGTGCCAGTCTTGTGCCAAGCTGGCCACTGAAGCCAGGCATGGAGGCCCACACCTATAATCCCAGCTCTGGGGAGGTTGAGGCAGGAGGATCCCTACAAGTCTGAGCTGCGTAGTAAGACTCTGTATGCAATTCATAAAGAAATAAGAGATTAAAAAAAAAAAAAGATCAGGGAAGACAGTGTTCGTTGGCAGTACCTATCTGCCTTTTATTGATCTAGGAAGATTTCTATGGATTCTAACATTGATTTCTGATCTGATATAGAACATTGTCTTTTAATGCTTTGCAAGAAATAGATTACTGTTCTCTTTCAGAACGCCCACTTGCTGCTTATAAAGCTGTAACATCTCACACGTTTATGTTGAGCATCACCAGACAGCATCTTTTCCATGCGATTCACCTACCTGGCCGGCAGTTGACTTTATGTCTCCACTGATCATCTTTATGGATGTACTTTTGCCAGCTCCATTGCATCCTAATAATCCCAAAATCTCACCTGAAAAGAAAGATTATGCTTAAGGTTAATTCATCTTCACGGTCAAATTGGAATAAGATGGCCTGAAGTCTCACGATGCGAGAGACATACTGTGTGTTTCCTTTATAGCAGCACCTCAATGAACTTTCTCAACAATCCAGGGAAATTACTCCAATCTCCTTACGATTTGAAGATGAACTCTCTTGAGAATAGGGTTAGCTTGCCCAGGGTCACAGGGGTGGGATGTGGTGGAGCTACTCTTGGGCTTCAGGATGCCAGATTCTGTCCTCTGTGATCCTGACAGAGTTCAATAATGACACAAGTTGAGTTCATCTCACACATTCTGCTTAAGTCTTTGGAATATCCCCAGTCTGTTCTCTTAGGAAAAATAATGAACATTAAGAAATTAATAGGTCTGGCTTTATCTTGGTCTTAACCATCCAGCAGAAAAGTATAAAAACGAAATATAAAAAGTAAAGCCATATTAATATGCTGAGCTATAAATGGCTCAAGTCAACAACCTCTGTCATTGCCAGTCTTATGGAAAAC